GAGGGAGAGGAGAGAGGGAGAGGGAGAGGAGAGGGAGGGAGGGAGAAAGGGAGAGGAGAGAGCAGAGTGGGCAGTCAGCCCTGGCCTTGGCCTCACATTCTGCCTCCAGCTGCCCAGCCTGGTGAACCTGGGCTGCCATCAGGTTGCAGGGAAGGCACTGACTTCTGCTGGTAGAAGGAGCTTTCTCCTGTGAATCCCCTCCCTCAATGAAATCGTGAGCCCCATTCAACCTCTGCCCAACATCAGGTTGTGGACATGGTTGCCCAAGACTTGTGCAGATAGTTCAACAGTCATTCATGCTATCTTTGTATCCATGCATGAACGACGGCACAATCACTGAGAGAGTGGCCAAGTACATCTGGAACTGGCTGCATAAGTGGGGCCCAACTGGTAACCATTAAAGGGTTAATGTCAACTTAGAGGCAGCAGTGAAGCTGCTGGCTCACCTGCCCACCTGTCTACCCGCCAGCCTGTCTGTCTGTCTGCCCTCAAAGAGAGTTTTCCCCTTGGTGGCTGGTTTCCAGGCCACCACCTCCTCTGCCGATGCCTGGTACTCTGACTGGCTCACTTACCCAAAGACGTGGAAATAGCTTTTCAGAAGAAATGGCAGAAGCTGGAAGGGCCACATCCAGATGATGTCCAGTATCTGCAGGAAGCAGACAGCCCGGTGCCCATCAGCCCCCTCCCCCTACGCCGTAGGCCTGGCTTCTCAGACACAACAGTGTCAGCTCCTCTTGGCACGTGTCTGCCTCCCCCGCCACGTGGAAGCTGGCCTATCCCCTCCCTCTGCACTGATTGGCAAGAGAATAGAAGCTCCCGGAGGGCAGGGCCCATTCTTCCTGTTTCTAGCACTGAGCAGACACTTGACAAGAACTGGCTGAACGCCACTGGCTTCCATTCTCCCCACAGGGTGAGGGCCAGGCACCATGGCGGTGTGGGATGGGTGTGAGGCAGCATTTATTTGGCCTCAGAATCAAACAACTGAGCCAGGCAGGTCTGGGGCCTGGCTTTGGGGCTGATGGGCCTCTGGTGAAGCCCACATGCCTGGGAGGCCTGGTCCCTGGGCCCAGCACGATGCCATATCCCCACCATGGCCAGACTTACTGTCTTCCCTAGCAACATGGCAGCCGACAGGAAGAGGTACACTTGCCCAGTGGTCTTCCAAGGTGTTCTCTGGGGAGGGCCAGTAGATGCCTGGGGGATGGCAGACAGTTTCGGCCTCGTGGACTTTTCGGATCTGCTCTTCCCTAGCCTGCCGGGCTGACTGCTCCTTCCCTGGCTCAGTCTCTGTCCCCTAACTGGGCACACTCCCAGGCTCTGTCCTGGGCCCCTGCTCCTCTTTCTGTCCCTGGGGGTGGGGAGGAGGGGCGGGCTTGTCAGATCATCTCCAGGCCAGGGACTCCAGCTCTATACATCCCTCCCTAACCTTTCTTGAACTCCTGCCCCACATCCCCAACCCCCCTGCTCTGTGTCATCCAGGACGGTGCAGGCTTTGACTCTCCAAAGCCTGGGTGGCACCTCACAAAAATGTTGTAACCTAAAATGTGACTACGATCCTGCCTCGGGCACTAGATGTGGCTCTGAGGGGGTACTGGAGGTCTCCAGGGCAAGGCCCCAGGAAAGATGCTCACTGAAGGCTCTGAGGGAGAGTCTGGAGGAAGCCCCCAGCACAGTGAGATTCCCTGTCTCCCCCTGAGCCCTGCTGCCTTCCTGACCCAGAGAGTCTCCACATTCCCAACCAGTCCTGCTGCCTGGGGGCTGCTCAGGTGACCCCAAGCTGGGCAGGACCTGTCCCTGTCCCTGACACCAAGCTCAGGGTGTTCTTGTCCCAGCAGCTCAGGGCTCCCTCTCCACCCCTCTGAAGCCAGGGCAAAGGGCCCTTCCCCCAGCCTAGACAGCTATGGGCAACCTCCATGGGAGGGGGGTGGCAAGGACCCCTGGACCAGCAGGCCTGAGGGAGGGGGAGGGGAGGACCCCAGATCCAGCAGAACCCTGGGCCAGCAAGCCTGGGAGGGGTGAGGACCCCAGGGCCAGCAGGTGGGGGGAAGGGGGATGAGGACCCCAGGGCCAGCAGGTGGAGGGAAGGGGGGTGAGGACCCCAGGGCAAGCAGGTGGGGGGAAGGGGGGGGGGGGGCCCCCGGGGCCAGCAGGGGGGGGGGAGGGGGGGGAGGACCCCAGGGCCAGCAGGGGGGGGGAAGGGGAGTGAGGACCCCAGGGCTAGCAGGTAGGGGGTGCAGGAGGGATCTGGGGCCCTGGGATAGAGGGAGGATCACCTGGCTCCCCTCGGTCCCTGGCTGGTGGGCTGTGATTGCTGTGAAAAGCCCCATGTAGATGAGATACCAGGCGGTGCTGATGGCAAACATCGGAGCAGCAAAGGAGGTCCATTTGGATTCTAGCAGACTGCGCAGGGGCTCCACCTCTAGCAACTTATAGGCTTTCTGATGGGAGAGAAAGGCCTTGAATGTCACCTCTACTGGGGCTGGCCTTTCTCTGTCCTCCACTGAGGCTCCCGCCTCTCCCTCCCTCTGCCAAAGCCGCCCCCACAGTGCTGCCCTTGGGGCTCCTCCGCAGCCCAGCTGCATCTCGGCAGCCCAGCGGCCCCAGGCACGGCCCTCACCTCCATGTCGGCGTTGAACACGACCATCTTGAGGGCAGAATGAGCCTCTGTGGTGTCCACTTCACTCAAGTCATACAGAGAACATCTCACTGGCCCGTAGGTCCACTCAAGGAACCTTCTAGATAGGTGCTGCAGCGGGTCACCCATGGGGCGCTCTCTGCTCAGGATGCGTTGGAACAACTGGCCGGGAGTGGAGAGGCAGAGGACGAGGGGGGAGGGGCAGGGAGGGCATGGAGGGGGGGAGGGGCAGAGGGGGTAGGTGGGGTCAAAGAAGACAGAATGGGAGGAGGGAGGAGAGGGGCATGGAGAAAAAAGTCAGAGGACAGGGTTGGGAGGGGGACGGGGGCAAGGAGGACAGAAGGGGAGGGAGGAGGGGGTGGGGCGGGGGGAAGAAAGTTCGAGGACAGAGGGGAGAGGGGGAGGGGGGCAGAGAGGCAGGAGAAGGTCACTGCCAAGGCCCAGGGCTCCCCCCTCCCCCCATTCCCGACAAGCTCCCCCACTCCCTTCCTCCCCAGGGATCTGCCCAAGGCCTTCAGGGGAGGAGAGTGCCTCAAGGTGTGGGCCCTTTTCGGGAGGCCTTCCAGAACTATGCCTATGCCCAAAGGCAGCTCTAAGGGCGGGATCCGAGATCTGCTGAGAGTAGAGTGGGGCCCCTATTGTCTCTTGCTCTCTTTTGGGTGACTAGGGGGCGCTGCATCAAACAGAGCACTGGGCCTGGAGTCGAGGAAAACCTGAGTTCAAATCCAGCCTCAAACATTTCCTAGATGTGGGTCCCTGGGCACTGAAGTCACTTTTAACCTGTCTGCATCAGTTTCCCCATCTGTAAAATGAGGATGATAATAGCACTTCCCTCCCAGGGTGGTTGTGAGGATCAAAGGAGATAAGCTTTGTAAAGTGTCCAGCACATAGTAGGTGCTATTATTACTATCTTGCAGGGTACAGGGCACCAGCCCAGGCCAGAGACACGGTGAGTCTGGGGCTGTGGAGCCCACAGGGCAGGGGTGGAGGCCTGGAGCTCTGCCTCTCTTCCTCCGCCCTGAGGCCCTACCTGTGCCCCCTCCTCCTGCCTACAGGGATGGGCACAGCCAGAGGCTGATAGAAGTCAGGTCTCCTGGGTCCACAAAGGCATTTCTTAAACACACGTGCATGAGCTGTGCTCCACATTAAGGCACACTGGACACAAGAAACGAGCCCTGTCCCCCATGTTTATTCTGCCTTAACTAACCTGTGAGCCCCTCTTCCTCCTCCCTCCCCCCTCTTAGCCTCGTGCCTGCCTCCTCCCCTGTCCTAGCCTTGTCCCTGCCCCCTCCCCAATCCTAGC